GCTCCCTAGAGAAAGGAGGTTTCACAAGTTCAGGGAAGGGGAAAGTGGACTAAATCAGGAAGAGCCCAGCAGAATTGCTAAGGAAGATTAAAAAAAAAAATACACAATCTATTACCTTTCCCTAAACCTTTGGAACAAGGACCTCAGAGGGCTGAGACCCAGGTGATTCTAAATCACTCAGCTCCAAGGGAACTACATCATCTCCAAGCTCTCTCCAAAACATGAGTCTTGTTATTCTGGGCTGCACTTTGAGGAGCTGTGCACTCACTAAATACTTAGCAATTTGCAGTCCTAGAATGTAATCATAGCATCCAAGGACTAGAAACTTTAGTTTAATCACTTCTCATCCACTGGGATTCTGCCAACCAGTGTCTATCCTCTGTTGATGTATTGGTTTTTCACCCACTTAGCTGCCAGTGATCCTAGGTGTCCCTGGCATATCTGGAAGAGCAATAGACAATTGCATGTTCCTGAATACATACTAGACCAATGTGGGCATAAAGAATCGGAGTTGCTAAAGAAAGGAGGTAGTGACCCTCAAGGACAAGTCATATTACAATGCCTGCTCCATGGATGCAGAAATTGAGGCACAGAGAAAAATAATAGCTTGCCAAAACTTAGCTTCAGATGGCATGATTCTTAACCTGGACTCTTATCTGTGTCACAACAGTACTGTTCTCTCTTCTCCCTCCAGGGCCCTTTTGTAGATAAGTGGTGAGTTCAGAAAACCTGACAGAGGAAATAAGGATGTGATTAAAAGAAAGAATTTAAAAATCTTTGGGGTGAGGTGTGAAAAGGCTGGTATTCCCAATGAGAACATTTACTCCATAAATAGAAACTAAAAGCACCTCATCTCTCAGCATGAACAGAAGATACCAGCAACATCAACAAAATTTTCGTGAACACCAGCTGTAAGCATCATAATAATTATTACTATTGAGCTCCTACTACATGCCTTTTATATACATTTTATCCTTAGATTTTTTTTCTACCCACCATAAAAGATATTACTATCTCCAATTTATGGCTGATAAAACAGATTTGGGCAGTTTCCTACAGTGCCATTGATAGTTATAGGTCTAAAGGTCTCCATTGCCTATTAAAAACAAGGAATTTAGTTTATGGAGTTACTGACTTAATCAAAAGTAATCAAGTAATAGTCAAATGTCTCCTAGGTACTAGACACAGTGCAAGAAACTGCAGGACACATAAAAAAAATGAAAAAAGTCTCTGCCCTGAGGATCTGACAGTCTAATCAGTAAGGCAGACAAACAGAAAACTCCGTAGCATGTGATTAATTGCTATAACAAGGAGAAATACTGTGTGCTCTAAGAAAACACAGGTGGAACTTAAAGTTTCCACAGAAGGTGGGCCAGGGTTAGGCAAAGAAAAGATGCACTGGAAGGTGAAGAAGGAGGTAAGAATGGGGCCAGTGGAAAAGATGGCATATTCCAAGCTTTGAAAATGAAAATGAGAACAATAGAGCTCAGAAACCTGTAACAGCCTGATAATAACCAGCACCTGCCTGCAGCATATTGGAAAATGCTGAGAGATGACACTAGAGCATTTGTTACAACTACTGAAGGGTACTCCCAGTTATAGCACGATAGCACGAGGGCCTAGCACAGTGCCTTCCTGGCCTATTTTATTGGGGTCAGTGTATGAAAAAAAAAAATTGGTGTTAGGCTGCATCAAGATTCCACTCTTATCTCTAGGTGTCCTGATTATTGTCCAGAACTCATCTGACATTCCTAATACTCCAATCTCCGTAGGGGCCTGGTGAACAGTTTTTGCTATGATGCAGTCTGTGGCTTGTAGGAGGCAGGAAGGGAGATGCTTCTGCACTCGGACCCGTTTCTAGGAGCCGTGCACTCACCATGTCTTTTTCTCTAAGTTGTAATTGCTCCCTTGAGAAAGGTTGCATAGCTTACTTTGGTCTTCCTTTCTCTCTGTGTCTATTTCGGGAGCTGGTTTAGAAGTTGTGGGGTTTGGTTGCTTTTTCTTTTTTCTTGAGTGAAAGCATATGTTAAGGGAAAAAAAAAAAATCATTCCCATCGGCTTTTTTGACGTTGCTGGGAGACAAAGCAAGCAGCAGCAAGTCTCCAAATGGGCTTTAAAGAAGAAATATATTTTAAATAAAACCCTAAAGCAGAAAACATCACTTGGCAACACGTTGTGCATTCTGATTCTCCTCCTGCTGCTATAAGGAAAAGACTCTCCTGTAAAAAAAAAAAAAAAAACAATAATAATAATGTACAGGAGCCTCATTTGATTCTTAGAAGTAGCAGGACCACTCATTCCAATGATCTACACTGAAAAAGAAATGCCAAAAGCAGATATTGTCCCCAAAAGTTATCCTAATCATCTAATTTCTTCCCTCAAGCATTAGAATCTCCCTTGGTTAAACTCATGGCTGGATGAATCTCCTCACAGGACCCTGAGGAATTAGATGGATATCAGAAGAGCTGTGGTTAATGGCAAAGTAAGGGGATGCAGGACCTGAAACAAAGACATTAGTGGGAAGTACATGATCTAGAGCTCAGGAGAATACACACTCAAACTGAGATTTAATATGAATTAACTTTTTAAAACAGCTTGCATGATACCTGAGTTTTTGGAGCAAGGTTTATTCTAATTCACAAGCATTCCTTGTGAATTAGAATAAAACCATACTAATTCTTCTCTGAGCTTGCATTTAAAAACATCACTGGGCATGCCAACATAGTACTGGACTGCCCACCCACACACACAAGAAATGGGAGCCAGGCCAAAGGAAAAAGGTAATAGCCTACAGTTATGGAAAAGGAACTGATGCACAAAATGCAGCTACCCAGGCCTAACTGGCCTTCCCTATGTAGAGAAACTCCTTTTGGGGGGTTTCACAAAGTTTTTTTATTCTGAGCCCTCTTATAACTCTGCCTTAAGAAGCACTTCTGATGGTTTTTCCAATAGCAACTTCACCAAAATTATGTCATTATCATAACAAACATGAGCAGTAGGATGGGCAGATTCAATATTATTAGTCCAATTTATCAGTGAGCAACTCCCAGGCTCACCCACTGAAGCCCGGGATATAACTCAAAGTCTCCCACACCCTGGATTTTTTTATACTTCTAGGCTATTTGTGGTGGAAAATAATAGGATAATACACCTCCCCTGTAACTGTAGCTTTTCGTATTATATTTAAATAGATATCATCAATGTAAGACAAAACTTAAAGGAAAAGTGACTTTCCCTCACACATAGACTATCAGAAGGCACCATTTCTTGCCTTGAATTTCATCAACACCCCAGTCATATCTATCGTTTATAACTGTACCACTCAGAGTCCCAGGTGAAAACACCTGGCACTTTCAAGTGGAATAATTTGAGGAGAATACAATGAAGATACTATCTCAAAAACAAGGACAAGTGTAAGTAAACCCACTGGTGCAATAAATCAATTCCTTAGAATTGGTAAGTCCAAAGCACTGCTCTCATCCCTTCACCCAAGAAGCAACAGTTACTGAAACAGTGAGCTGGAAAGAACAACTGGAATTACCCACATAGGAGAAGCTATGTTCTTCAGTTGAGAATAAAGTGATCCTAGAGGGAGAGATGGAAAGAATAAATACCCAGAACTTATTTTTCTCCCTCCAAACTCTCACCCTTTGTCTCCATTAGCCAAAGCAATTGGAAACCAGATCAGGTCAAAGAGCAGATTGTTATCACTCCCATTGGTCAGTCACCAGGACATAGAACACTTTAGAGGTGGACGTGAATGGTGGCTGGCAAAAAGCTTTATCTTCCTCTTCAACATCATTATATTGTTGTTGGTATCTTAGGGTCTGAGCTTTTTGAGACTTATTTCTATAAATTAGAAGTTGCTTCATTACCACCAACTCAGTCTATAAAGCAAGAATGAAATAGGACATTTGCCTTCTTTCTTTCCTTCATACCCCAAACAGAGTTCCCCAGTTTAGTTTATTGTTTGTTTTTTATTGATGGTTTCAGCCTTGATTTTGGAAAGGAAAGATGATAAATGAGATTGCTGTCAAATAACAGAGTGTCTGGGAAGGGAATGGAGACAGACATCCAGTGACTTCATGCAGGACAGAATATTCCAAAACTAGTAAATTTGAACTGATTTGAAGAATGTCAAAGACTATTCTTCATCAAAGATTTCTCCTCTCATGGCTTGATTTCCCTTCTTTCATCTTGAAAAATCTACAAGTCTTCTTTTGGAGGGCTTGTCTTTCAATTAGATCAAATTATGACTTAGGAGCATCACTACATGGGATAGTTAATACACCCAAGCCACAGACCTTCAGCAGAGATTAGTGGCCTACAAGGATAGAATGCAGAATTTTACTGGGGAAAAATTTGAGAATATGTAGTCTATAATAGAAATTATAAGACATTGCTGGCAGCTCTGAAGACCTATAGAAAGTCTGGAGATACAGAATTAGGGGTAGGGGTTGTTCAAAGTAAGTATGGAAAAACAGTGAAGTCCAAATTCATATCTACCTAGTTTAACCCAAGGCCAGTCTCAAGTGAAAAAAAGAAATTTAAATGTTTCTCCTCCTGTGTTAGTCAGCTTTCTGTCTCTGTGACAAAATACTTGAGAGAATCAACTTAAAAGAAAAAGGATTATTTTGGCTCACAGATCCTGAGTTTCAGTCCATTGTCACTTGGCTTTGCCTCTAAACTTTGCACAACCTCCCAATAGTGCAGCCAGTTGAGGCTCAAGCCTTCAACACATGATCCTTTGGGGGACATTTCAAATCCAAACATAGGCCCCCCTTCATCATGGTATAAACTTTACCGATGGAAAACTAGAAAGGTTTTGCCTGAATTTCTTTGTTCTCTTTCTCTTCCTTTACTCCAAGCCTGTGGACTTAAACAGGATGAGCGCTAGCTTTCTGCTGCTAAAAATGTGCTTAATTAAACATTTTAATTAAAACCTACAAGAGTGATTGCGCCTGTCAGTTTGTGAAAAGAAAGCTAATAAAGTTCCTTACATTCAGTCCAACGGGCATCCCAAGGACATGCTTCAGGAGTGAGGGAAGAGGAGCCTTAGGAGTGATGGGGCTGAGCACTATGGTGATGCTTCCTCCCTTCAGAGAAAAATGGGCAAGGGGAAATGTTCTTTTCTTCCTATCACTTCCTAAGGTGAATAAAAAACATGTGTTTAGTGAGAAACACGACAGGTTCCAGATGGCAGAAATACAATAATTTATACTCATTGATGTGTTTTCCTTTCAACAGATATACTTACCTACAGCCTACCATGTACAAAGGACTCTGCTCCTTGCTTG